GAACATTCAGCCTTGATAATGGAGGAAGAACGCATTCGAAACTCGTTGGCCAACTCATCACTAGCTACAACTTTTACCCGTTGTTCTAACAACGTTAAGACGGCTTATCGACTTCTTGAGAAGAATTCTAAGAAGAAAGTAAACCTACAAACATTGGTCTTGTTTAACCAAATCTGCCTAATGTATTTGTATAAACACAACAGTTTAAGGCCATTCTAATACACAATATGATCTTGGTTTTGAATTATTTAGTTGAATGAACTATAAAGGAAGTTCAATTACTCAATCTACAATTAGTTTTATCATGTTACTGAATGTATTTGACAAATAAACAGAAACAAAAGGAAGTGAATTTTAATCAGAAAGAAACCACAGACTTGTACATATGTGTAACTTACCTGCAAGTTATCTGTTTGAGCTAATAACTGTTAAACCAGGCAGCGGTTTTAAGAACTACAATAAAGTTTCATTATCAAGATGCTAGTTGTTAAGTTAATATCTAAAAGGAAATGGTGGGCCTCGCATCAAATTTATTGTAAAAAAAAATCACATCTGATTGTTTTCTGTTTTCGACCTAGCTCTATTCAAGTAAAAAAATAATAATAATAATAATATGTACTATTCACTTATGTTTTTCTTTATTTAATTTTAAGCAATATAAGATGCTGAAAACATGCAAAAACATATTTCAAGTTGGCTTTTAGATTTCAGATATAAAAATAGGAAAGAGTTACAGTTAAAAAGGAGATTTCTTGGCTGAAGCCAAGTTAACTCACACATTCCACTATCTCTGTGGAATTCCTACCTTTACTCTGGTTACAGAACAGCTCACACGCCTCTATCACTATGACTTGAAGCTTGCCAAGTGGGCATCTACGACGAACTACAGGAAAATGGAGTAACATAATAGGAAAAAACAAAACAAAAAACCATTTTTAAGAGAACCAGTGACCATTCATGCATAAGTAAGAAGTTCATGCAAATCACAGAAGTTTGAGTGATATCAGGAAAAAATCTAAATATTAGTAAGCTCCGTTGCTCAGCAAAAAAAATAGAGGTGTTCATGCTGAAATAAACTCATGTAATTTGAAGAACAGGATAAGTTTAAACTCAAATTCTAGGCTGAAACAGAAGAGAAAGAAAAGCAGCAGTGGTTTATAGGGCAATCTTCCCACTGAAATGAAAGTTTCTATTAGTTTTCTCAGAGAAACTCTTTCAAGATTTCCAATTAAGAAACTAGATGCTGTTGCATAAGTTTCTCATCTTATTGTGCTATAAGGAAGTCAAAGATAATTTTAGAGCAATGGATAGTGTAAGTCACTCTATCAAGGACAATTCCTGGGCACTTCATAACTATTGGTATTTTTCAGTCCTGAGGGAAGGAAGTTTTAATTATGTCAAAGATTTCCTGATCTGTTGTCAAATCTTACCATTTATGGAACGAGCCTTCAGTTTCATTCCTTCCATTACTACAACCAGGAGGCGCCCTACACCTGCTGTTTGTTGAGATTTCACTGATTGAATGAAAGAACATGAACCAATTTTCTGATGAATACTAATAAGAATTTTATATTTACCTTTAACTAGCAGAAAAAATACTTTTAAATAAGATTTACCCACCATCTTTTTAGGCAAAAACCAGACAATCACACAAATATTGAAAAGTATTAAACAGTAAAAGATTACTTAAAATACTGGGTCAAGTTAAAAGATAATGAGGAAAAAACTTGTTGATTAAACTAAATGATAAAGTTTTATGTCTGTGCACATTGTTTTGCTTTGAACATTTTAAATCCATGGCACATGATAATGTAAATGTTGTTTTATTTAATTCTAATTAGTTACAAAAGTTGAGATTTAACTCCATGTGACATGAACTGGGAATATTATTTTCTGTACATCTAATTATTTAAGAGATATACAGAATGCTTAATACTACATTATCAGGTATAAAAATATCTTCTAATATCAAATTTTGAAAATTTCATTTTCAAAAATTCCTATTTTTTTAAAATTAATGTTTCTAATATCTATTTATTACCACTTTATTCAATAAGCAACGTTCCTATTTAAGATATTAATAAGTATTTTGAAATACTGCCTTAATAATTAATTAACATGTTTCGGATTATAGTTGCATGGATATTGTTCTTCTTAGGTGACATTAAGAACTAAAAAGGGTTGATCATGACTACTCTTCAGTAAAGTTAAAGTTATTGTTCTTCTTAAGTGACAATAAGAACTAAAAATGGTTGATCATGACTACTCTTCAGTAAAGTTAAAATTATTGTTCTCCTTAGGTGACAATAAGAACTAAAAACGGTTGATCATGACTACTCTTCAGTAATGACTACACTTCAGTAAAGTTAAAGTTACTGTTCTCCTTAGGTGACAATAAGAACTAAAAAGGGTTGATCATGACTACTCTTCAGTAAAGTTAAAGTTATTGTAACTCCTTAGGTGACAATAAGAACTAAAAAGGGTTGATCATGACTACTCTTCAGTAAAGTTAAAGTTATTGTTCTCCTTTGGTGAAAATAAAAACTAAAAAGGGTTGATCAATACTACTCTTCAGCAAAGTTAAAGTTATTGTTCTCCTTAGGTGACATTAAGAACTAAAAAGGGTTAATCAATACTACTCTTCAGCAAAGTTAAAGTTATTGTTCTCCTTATGTGAAAATAAGAACTAAAAGGGTTGATCATGACTACTCTTCAGTAAAGTTAAAGTTATTGTTCTCCTTAGGTGACAATAAGAACTAAAAATGGTTGATCATGACTACTCTTCAGTAAAGTTAAAGT